AGCCATACTGGGATCTATACTTTTAGGCAAATAGGCATGTATGAAAATCTGAAGCCATATGATGGACCCTCTCAAAAAAGAACTGCCATAGCTAACCACAACTTATCAATTTAGCAAGCAGAAATATTTTCATATAAAGCCTTCACTGTTTACCTTTTCTAAGTAAATTTCTTTATGGAGACCTAGAAATATTCTTGGAAATTTATATTTTGCTTGCGCCTCTGCTTTGCTATGTATTATTCTAAATTGCTTTGTAAATTAATTAAAAGATCTATTGGCTTATCCTTATGTCCCATAACTTGTGAAGATGTCTCAATAGCTGTTTCTTCAAGGTCACATCCTCATGATATGGCCTATGGTTCATCCTTACTTCATAGTGGAAGTGCCTTACATTCATACATAATGCTTCTATTTTTTTCCCTTTTCCCAAGACTACTAGCAGAACGATGTGGAATTGGCAGGCAATAAATTTAATCAACCAATCAATCTATGTCACTTCACTGACAATATTCATGATGGTACAGTTGGAAATTGGGATCTGCCCAGCAAAATTTAGCTACTTCTCCTGGAAGGGGAGCGATGGCTCAGTGGATAAGACTCTGACCTTGTCGATCAGAAAGGTTGGCAGTTCGGCGGTTCAAATCCTTAGCGCCACGTAACGGAGTGAGCTCCCGTTACTTGCCCCAGCTTCTGCCAACCTAGCAGTTCGAAAACATGTAAAAATGCAAGTAGAAAAATAGGGACCACCATTGGTGGGAAGGTAACAGTGTTCTGTGCACCTTTGGCGTTTAGTCATGCCATCCACATGACCAGGGAGATGTCTTTGGACAGCACTGGCTCTTTGGCTTTGAAACGGAGATGAGCACCACCCTCTACAACTGGCACATATGTGCGAGGGGAACCTTTACCTTTATCTTTTACCTGGAAGGATGTGTCTTTCCTTCCTGTCACCAGGCACTGCTTTTAACTTGGGCTTGAAATGCAGAATAGACCCTGTACCTGCTTCCAGAATTGCATCTTCAGTTCTCACTAGTGCTTTGCAGGGTCCTTGTAGATAGCACTTTTGCAAAAGTGCTAGACCACAATGTTAAACATGGGTTTAGTAGTCTTCTAAAAGGGTTCTATATTTGTTTTTAAAAAAAACAGTACAAGCACTTCAGAACAGTGCAGGTTCAAAAGGCCAATTGAACTGGAAAAGAAAGCTCAGCTCTGCCAGTTACATGCTTCTGTTCCAAAGGAATTGCATTTGAGTTCTCAGTTGCTTCTGTCAAAAAGTAGTTTCTTGTCACTATCCCTAAGGCGCTTTTTCAAGAGGCAACTGGACTTTCTGTTTTTTTTTTGAAGACATTTCGCTTCTTATCCAAGAAGCTTCTTCAGCTCCAACTGGATGGTGGGAAATTGAAGGATTTATACTCCTTGCAGACAACTGTTCATTTGCATTCTTTTAGTGAGTTGTTAAGACCACCTGGAGATTTATTTGTGTCATCAGGGTCACCTGCTGGTGCAAATGGGTGTGGAACTATACAGGTAGTCCTCAACTTATGATCATAATCAAGCCCATATGTTGCTAAATAAGACATTTGTTAATTGAGTTTTGACCCATTTTATGACTTTCCTTGCCATATTTGTTAAGCGAATCACTGCAGTTATCAAGTTAGTAACATGGTTGTTAAGTGAATCTGGCTTTCCCATTGATTTTGCTTGTCAAAAGGTTGCAAAAGGTGATTACATACCCTTGAGACACAGCCAGTGGTGGGTTTCAAATTTTTTTACTACCAGTTCTCCAGGTGTGGCTTGGTGGGTGTGGCATGGCTTGGTGGGTGTGGCATGGCTTGGTGGGCGTAGGTTGGTGGGTGTGGCAGGGGAAAATCTCCATTTCCACCCCACTCCAGGGGAAGGTTACTGCAAAATCCCCATTTCCTCCCGATCTGTTGGGACTTGGGAGGCAGAGAATAGATGGGGGTGGAGGCAGTCAGAATTTTAACTACCGGTTCTCCGAACTACTCAAAATTTCCGCTACCGGTTCTCCAGAACTGGTCAGAACCTGCTGAAACCCACCTCTGGACACAGCAACAGTTGCCAAGCATCTGAATTTTGATCACAAGATCATGGGGCTGCTAGAAAGGTCCTAAGTGTGAAAAATGTTTATAAAGTCACTTTTTTCAGTGCCGTTGTAACTTTGAACAATCACTAAAGGAACTGTTGTAAATCAAGGATTACTTGTAATCCATAAAACCACTAATACTACCAATCTAACTTTTTAGAAGCCTTTAATAGGCTTTAACACAGCTGTTTAATTCTGTTTTTTTTATGTACATATAAATAGTTGCATACAGTATATAAAACTTCAAATGAAGTTGGCAGATCAACTTTTGCTAATCATGAATTTGTCCATGGTCATTTTGATATACTGTGGACATGGACATCCTTTTGAAAGTATCAACATAGATTTTGAATATCTTTTTATATTGGCATTACATAGTTCTTTAGTTTTTGTAAATTAGCCTTCCTATGTCATCAAGCCTAGCTAGAAGTGATAGGAATTGTCCGACACATTTGAACACTGCCAGAGAAATAGAGACAGTTACAGCATATGTATGTATAAATAGTGGTATTTTAAGAAAATGATTCATACTGTAGGTATTAAACCAATGCTGAAACAGGTACGTATTTAGGATTTCTATATGGGAATTTGTTGCATTTCCCATTCATTTTTTTAGTTCATTATAAGATTATTTTTACTGTTTGGAAAATTTGCTCATCATCCTTAGGATATGATTTGGGAGGGAGATGATTCACTGACAATTGTGGATAATTTATAGACTCTTTGGGCTACTCAGGGTTTAGCTCTAATAGTGTCCATTGGCAAGCATAGTATTTACTTATACTCTGAACAGACACTCAGTGGACTCAGTAAACAGCCAATTTTTGTTAAAAGTGAACTGGGCAATCATCAAATGCATATTTTGTTTAGAAAAGCCCTATGAAAACATAAAATCTATGATGAAATGCTGATAACTTTCCATCTGTCAACCCAGAGCTGCTAAGAAGGATTAGACTATAAAACTAATCTACTGGAATGAAAATGAATTTAATTTGTTCCTAGTGATGAATTGTGAATGCGAACAGGAAATGTTAGTTTTAACATTAGCAACCTGCCCCCACCAAAATAATTTTGCAATTACATATTTTGTACAAGAATTCTTGACAGTGCAGGAAGAAAGGGTGAAGTTCTTTCAGTATGTCTTCTTCCTATTTTTTTTTTTTAAATGTGCGTTTGCACCTTCAGTGACGCATTGCTGGCAATCATTCTGTATCATTTATAGACTGAATTATTTTCGGCAATAATTTGAGGCAGCCAAATGTGTTGCAAAAATCCAAAGGCTATGCAAGTATTGCTTCATTAAGATGCCTGCTGTGTGCCTAGAGCACCTGAGGTAATTAAGCATCTGCGCCAATTTAGTTTTCCATGCTTTCCAAAACTTTTCTTTCAACATGACACATTCCCTCCCCCCCCCTTTCTTTGGACACAGAAGCATTCAGTTATTCATCTTCAGGTCCTGTATCCACAATAATGTTCTGTTCACAGTACAGAGGAATCCAAATGGATCTTTGCAAACTGAGTGTAACACTGAGAGGTAGACTATATTGTTTCCAAAAGACTATTTTGTTTATCCATGTGCAACACCTCTATTTCCAAACTGCATATGTCAGTGTTTCTCAGCCTTGGTAGCTTGAAGATGGGTGGACTTCAATTCCCAGAATTCCCCAGCCAGCAGCGCTGGCTAGGGGATTCTGGGAGTTGAAGTCCACCCATCTTCAAGCTACCAAGGTTGAGAAACACTAGCATATGTTGTCAAAAATAAAAACATCCAGAACCTTGAATGTCAGTGCTACTCAAATATGTATTATGAACATCTCTATGTGTCATAGGAAAATGTTTATAATTGAATGAATATATTGTTTTGTGACAAAAATATAATCCCTGGGAATGATCAGTGATCTTTCACATGAACTCATGGAGTGAGAAAATAGTTTACATTTTTAGAAAGCTCTAATTATGACAGTTCAATTTGTATATGTTTCAAAGTTCAATTTGTTTATATATGGAATTTCAGATGTGAAAAAGGTGAATGGGTTTGATCAGCCATAGTGTTTCTTGACCCTTGCCGCTGTTGTGAAAAAAATGCTCACTTAAATAAGAAATAAGAGTAATTGGAGACAAATGCAACAGAGGTGGGTTTCAGCAGGTTCTGACCAGTTCTGGAGAACCGGTAGCGGAAATTTTGAGTAGTTTGGAGAACCAGTAGTAAAAATTCTGACAGGCCCCACCCCCATCTATTCTCTGCCTTCTAGGTCCCATCCGATTGGGAGGAAATGGGGATTTTGCAGTAACCTCACCCTGGATTAGGGAGGGAATGGAGATTTTACAGTATCCTTCCCCTGCCACGCCCACCAAGCTATGCCCACCAAGCCTTGCCCACAGAACCGGTAGTAAAAAATTTTGAAATCCACCACTGAAATGCAAGTATATTTTTATTGGAATGTATGTAGTGATCACTGGCGTGCCAGACTTGCAGGAGAGAGCTGGGAGTAAAACAAGGGTACAAACTATCTATGTTGAGTAATTTACCTACATAAAGAAAGATAAAGAAATATAATAAATCCTTTCACTGGAATGTTTTTGATAAACTATTAAAATTGACTACCTTGTAAATTTTCACACTATTTGGCTTCTGTCCTTTTAGATAGTATCATCATGTTCAATAAACAATAATGTTTATTGTATCCAAGAGTTTCGGTGGCTCAGTGGTTAAAGACAGTGAGCTTGTCAGGTGGAAAGCTGACAGCCTGGGTTCAAGACCCAAGCGCTGTGCGATGGGGTGAGCTCCCATTACTTGCTGGTCATATGATCATGGAAAACTCTGGCTCCTTTGGCTAAGATTAGCACTGTCCCCTAGAATTAGACATGACTGGACAGGGGAAACCTGTACATTTACCTTTATATTGTATCTACATCCCTTCATACCATTCCATTCACATCCTGAAGGAAGGAAAGCTGTTGGTTTCTTTTGTCTGTCTCCAGTCTGATGTATGATCTATTTCTAAAGGATATAAAAATGAACAAATGAAGTAAGCCAGCCACCATACCACTTATGATTTATTACAGCTAATCTCTCTGAGTGATATTCTCTCTCAGTCGGCTTGAGTTGGTAAAGCCTTATACATATTAAAGATGGTTGGCCAACAAAATGCTTGAACATGTCATAGCTGATCAAATCCACCAAGATCTTTTTGGCTGAACTAGATTTTCTAGATCAATTTCAATGAAATTTTAGGCCTAATTTTGGCACTGGAACTGCTTGGGATGCTCAGGTGGATTACCTCTGCTGAGAGAAAGATTGGAAAATGCCACCATTTAAGGGCTTGATACCATTGACTGGCAAGGCTGAGGATGGGAGTTAAATAATCATGATGGTGGCTGCAGCATGGGAGTAAACCCTTGCCATCATTGAAGATTTCAATGATGAATGATGCTTTAACTTTATCCCCTGGATATTCCTGCCATTGACTGATGTGGGACTGGGGACTTCCTTGGGTGTGGACCTGTTTGGTGACGATCCCAGCCTTGGAATGCCCTTTCAGACAGGATATATCTGGAGCCATCTTTATTATCTTTTTGATGCCTGGCAAATACATATTCATACTACCAAAGGTTTTTGATAATAGTGCTGCTATGATTTTTAACCTTCTGCTGCTATTATTCCTTATTTTGACCTGCTTATTTTATTAAATGCTTTTCTGTTGCAAACTATTGCTGTAATTTTCCTTTTTTTAAAATTGTCAATAGAATAGAATAGAATAGAATAGAATAGAATAGAATAGAATAGAATAGAATAGAATAGAATTCTTCATTGGCTAAGTGTGATTGGACACACAAGGAATTCGTCTTTGGTGCATATCAGGGGTGAAATGCTCCCGGATCGGACCAGATCGCCTGGTCTGATAGCGATCTTGGCTGGTGGGTCGGCAATCCAGTAGCGATGGTGGAGCGAAGCTCCGCCCACTCACCCGGGTGTCATTACTTCCTGGTTTTGGCGCATGTGCTTCCAAACCGGTTAAGAAGATAAATAGATTTCACTCCTGGTGTATATGCTCTCAGTGTACATAAAAGGAAAAAAGAAAAAAAATACATTCATCAAGAATCATAAGATACAACACTTAGTGATAGTCATAGGTTACTAATAAGCAATCGAATCATACCAGGAAACAAACAGAAGAATATAAATCGTAAAAATACAAGCAACATGGTTATTTATTTATTTATTTATTTATTTATTTATTTATTTATTTATTTATTATTTAGATTTGTATACCGCCCTTCTCCCGCCACTTTTAAAATACTTTTTAAACCACTTTAAACCACTTTTAAAATAAAAAAGTAGAGAAATATTTTATATGTGTGAATATATAGATAAATAAATAAAACATGTGGCCTTGCTTCAAAGGAATCAGCTTCTGTGTATTGGTTGTCTCTGTGCAGAAGGTATTTGGTGTGTCTGATGTGAAGAGTACAGCTGCTGCACTTGGTTGCTCGGCAGTGGGCAGGGGCTATGGGGGTTGTGCATTATTCAAAGCTTCATTGTACCTTTGAAGTTCTGCACACCCGTAATAGCTAGTACTTGCATTGCTATTAAAAAGTTCTAGATCAAATAATGTTATATGCATATTAAGTGACAAGAAAAGGATTGTTACAGAATGACATGTTCAACCATTTACTGATTCCGATAAAGAAGAATATTTGTAGCTCAGGGTTGAAATGAGGGGTGATTGATACTCTCTGAGCTTAGTTGTTTTCTTGCAGATGTTTCATTACCCAAACTAGGTAACATCATAAATGCTAATAAGGAGTGGAGTTTACTCAGTTTATATTCTAGTGCAGTGTTTCTCAACCTTGGAAGCTTGAAGGTGGGTGGACTTCAACTCCCAGAATTCCCCAGCCAGCAGTGCTGGCTGGGGAATTCTGGGAGTTGAAGTCTACCCATCTTCAAGCTACCAAGGTTGAGAAACACTGTTCTAGTGGTTTATCCTGTCAGTGTTGGTGGGAGTGCTCTGGTTCTTTGATTGGATTTTTTTTTACTGTTAACTTGTTTGGCAGTTCCTTGATTGCATTATTGTTTACTTCTTGATTGTTGGTCTCATCTTAATTTTGCAGTTAATCTATGCGTGTTGATTGCTGGTAGGGAGGTGTTTTGGTCTTTTTGTTCTCTTTTTGGCTTATTAATTATCTCTGTTGCATGGTATGTAGATGGTATTTATGTCTATTTGTCTACTGATAGCCCACTTGTCAGAATGCCAAGCTTCCAGAAATTCTCTAACATTTTTGGACTTGACCTAGTTTAGGATGGTAACAGTTTCCTAGTTGAAACTATGGTTAAGTCTGTCCGTATGTTAATAATTCATATTTTCCTGGCTTTTGGCCATTGCTGAATTTTACATACCTATTTACAGACCACAAGTAGCAGATTAATGTTATTATCTTTCCTGTATCTGCTAATATCTGCTAAGCTCCATGTAATTACTTATACTTTAGCTCAATTATTTCTCCTTCTTTTTAAATGTAGTTTTCTTGTTGTAAACAATTCTTGTGTAAGCACATTTTTGCAATATCGCCGTAGATTTTCAAAAGCTGAACTATGACCAATTGGATGCATTACTCCACACTGACGGTCTTCAAAGCAAGTAAGCTATTTGAATTAGTTTTCTTGGATGCATATAAAATTTGTGAAAAGGGAATGCTTGTGGGAATGTTTGAATTTTTTTTATCAATATGTTTTTTTCAGATATACTTAGCTATAAATAAATGGAAGCATCGTAGTACTTTTTGATTCTGGTGCTCATACAACAGGATGAGTCTTGCATCAGAGTGCTCCAGCTATCCATCTTTCTGACTTTGTCTCCATATATCACCACCTGCTGATGTCACTGGGTTTTAGGCAGTTATGATAGCAATATAAAAACAGACTTTATTCATACTATTAATGTTCAGACTTTATTCATACTGTTAATGTGTTTTTCTGACTTAATCATATCTATCTATCATCTATCTGTCTATCTATCTATCATCTATCTATCTATCTATCTATCTATCTATCTATCTATCTATCATCTCTCTCTCTCTCTCTCTAAAAAATGCAGGAAACAAAAAAAAAGGAACATCCCTTTATATGGCCATGTAGTATGTTTGTATGTATGTATGTATGCATGCATGTATGTATGTATGTATATGTATATGTATATCACACACACACACACACACAGAGAGAGAGAGAGAGAGAGAGAGAGAGAGAGAGAGAGAGAGAGGGAGAGAGGGAGAGAGAGGGACAGAGACAGAGAGACAGAGACAGAGACAGAGACATAAAAAGGGAAGTCCCCATAAGGTGATTTAATACTAGATCTAAAATGATCCACTATTCAGACATAATATCTCAGTACAGCTGGTCAAAGTTTATTTGAAGAAAGTTTTATTGTGAGTTGCTGAGAATCTTGCTTTTGATAGAACTGGGATATACAATTAAAAAAAATAATTCATCCATCTTTCAGTGCTGTGCTGTGATTCTCATCTGAACTGGAATCTTATGCGGCTAATCTTTGCTAAATTAAAAAAAAAAAAAATCAGACATCACTTGGGCCTTGGCCAGAGACAAAACATTTTAGAATGGGGTTTTTTTTGACAATGTACCAAGAATATCACCCATATGAAGGCATCCAGAACTATTGCTTCTGGGTTGTAATGGTTTAAAACTACCTTGCCAGTTTTAAGAATTTGGCTTCATAGATTTGTAAGGCATATAACCAGGAATGGAAAAGCCTTAATATTTCCAGTTGAATCAATCAAGGCAACAGAAGCAGGACTGATGGAATTAATTTACTTATAAAGTATATATTTTATTGGTTTGATCTGACACAGGTTTCCCTCAGGCTACAAATAAAAAAACTAACAGTTAGCTTGAAACTACAAAAGTCCAAGGAGCTATTTTTTTCTTTGAACTGCTGCCACAACTAAGTTGCCAAAAACAAAACACACACACACACACACACACACACACACACACACACACACACACAGTCAGAACGGATTATGATCAGCAGAAGCATCAATTTTCTTCATATTATTATGTTGTTCTCTTATACAACAATAGTAACTGTCTATACAAATTAATACACACCTTTTTAAATTTACTAGCAAGGCATTACATGTAGCTTGTATAAATAGGGATTAAAATTTTCTTTATGAAAATTTCTTCAATAACAAGTGATTTTTACTACTTGTTATTTTTAAAAATGGAAATTATTGGTTTTCTTTTATTGGAATTATTGGAGTTATAAGCAATTACTGTCCTTATCAAAATGAAACTATGGGATATCAGTTCAGTATGGATTGCGATGCTGAGGTGTAAACACCTGTCTTAATGGAATAAGTGACCTCCTCTTCTCCTCTATTGAGTTCAGATCTTAACCCCATTCAATTCAACAAGGTTTACTGTCAAATCTGCAGGTAGTTAGAGAACTTCATCCCTAATCTCTTATGCAAAACACACACATGCAAAATGCACTTCTTGGAATCCATTAAATAACTTTATTACCATGTATGTTAATTATTACCACGTGAATCAATCATGAGACTTTTCAACTCTGCCATTTTTAAAATTTATGGTAGCATAGTGCATAGTTCTTGATTACATATGTTATCTCCTATAGTCAGCAGTCCCCAACGTTTTTAGCACCAGGGATCGGTTTTCTAGAAGACAATTCTTCCACGGTCTGAGGTGATGGTGGTGGTTTTGGTTTATCTTGTTTGCCTGCCACTCATCTCCAGCTGTGTGGCCTGGTTCCTAACAGGTCGCAGACTGATACCAATTCATGACCCAGGGATTGGGGCCCATTGTCCTAATGTATCTGCCCAGCTTATTCAATGCAACAGGGTTAGCACATTTCTGGATATTTCAACAATGCCTATAAGGACCCCAGAAACATGTCTTCTCTGCAGTTGCATTCCCCTCTGGAACAAAGGATTCCTTGGGTGGCTTCCATTCTCCTGGTGTTTCAGAGGGTTTTGAAGCTTGGCTCTTTGAACAGTTCTTTAGCTAGGGTGATTGGAGTGCTTTCTGCATTGTATGTATGTCTATTGTTGTCTGATTTTCACATCTTTTGTTCTGTCAGAGTTTGTTGCAGCACACACAATCAGACACAATTAAATACTTCTGCAGGATTCAACTACATAAGAAACTTTTTTATATACAATACCATACAGCAGAAATCAGCATAGAAAATCAGGAACACCAAAGCAATATTCACAGAAGCAAGTAGAGAGATACAGAGGCTAATATATTGTACAGAGGCTCTCATTACAGACCAAACCAACTCATATATATAGTTCAGCAAGTCTAAGCCACGCCCAGACTCCAAACTGTCTCTTATGGTCCCATACAAAGAAATACTATGTTTCAGTTTCCAAACAGTCCTCAATGGCTGACATAGTTGCTATGCCTTTTCATTGGCTGACCTGTTACCATGTCTATTCCAGCTATGAACATACATACTTCTGACATGTTCCTTTTGTTTTTATTATTATATTGTTATCTTTCTGTGTTTTTACTTAGTGAGGTTGAATCTTGACCAGTGTACAAATTTAACCAACAAAGTAAATATCAAATATCTGATTCAAAGTTTGTGATTCAACTTATCCATAATAATTTTGATATATACAGATCTAGTCATTCTAAAAATGTGTATACCATAGGCAAGAACTTTTCATATAGAAAGAAGCTCATTTCTTTCAAGTTTGATATGGATTAAACTCAACCAAAAGTCTCAGCTGGTCTAATGCCAGTTCAGAAAGCCTTTCTCCCATGAGTAAATAACAGTGGAAGAAGAAACTTTTGTTTTCTCTGTCTTCTTGATTTTGGGTCCATAAGAAATCAAGGGAAAGGGACCACTGATTAGTTTTATGTTTACCAATTAAGCAGTGAAGCAGTTAAAAGCTAAGCAGATAACCACTTAATTAGATGCGACCCTAACCTTAAATTTAGTATGTCATTATAGCAAACCAGAAAACAAAACTTTAGTTTTTATTTGAATCTATGCTGCACCTCTGTCATCTGCACCTTTATAACTGTCTGGTTTAGTTCTGCAAGCCAACAAGACAGACACAGACTTCAGAGGATAATTAAAATTGCAGAAAAAACAATTGCTACCAACCTGACTTCCATTAGGGACCTGTATACTCCACGAGTCAAAAAGAGGGCTTTGAAAATATTTACAGACCCCTCACATCCTAGACATAAACTGTTTCAACTCCTACCCTCAACATAGAATAGGGTAGAACATTGCACACCAGAACAACTAGACACAAGAACAGTTTTTTCCCGAATGCCATCACTCTGGTAAAACAAATAATTCCCTCAACACTGTCAAACTATTTACTAAGTCTGCACTATTAAGTCAGTATTAATCTTCTCATCGTTCCCACCACCCATCTCCTTCCACTTATGGTTGTATGACTGTAATTTTGTTGCCTGTATCCTTAGGATTTATATTAATATTGTTTCCTGATTGCTTATTTGTACCCTATGACTATCATTAAGTATTTTGTACCTTATGATTCTTGATGAATGTATCTTTTCTTTTATATACACTGAGAGCGTAAGCACCAAGACAAATTCCTTGTGTGTCCAGTCACACTTGGCCAATAAAAAATTCTATTCTATTCTATTCTATTCTATTCTATTCTATTCTATTCTATTCTATTCTATTCTATTCTATTCTTCTATTGATCTATCATTGCTCAACTATTCAATTAGGGATTATCAGTGAATATATTTCTGTCCATGGATTATGGAATGAATCTTTTTTTTAGAAAAAAAAAACATGAAATAAGGAAAATAAAATAGTGAGCTGAATGAGATGAGCTTGAATATTCTTTTTTTGGTGTTGTAACCTTTAAATTCAGGACATTTTAAAAATATACTTATGCATAATTAAGGACAATTTTCTTCAAGATAGTACATAATTAAAGAGGAAATTTTAGTCAGGGTATACTTAGATGATGATGAAATTAGTTAAATGCATCTGAAACTGCACCTGCAGGTTTCGATATGGAAGATACAGATTTACATTTGTCTCCAATCTGGGGGAAAAATCAAAAGTTAAAATGCTCACTATGAGCACTATTACCATGCTAAATGAACTTTATAGCAGCCAGATAAATGAGCATCTTAAAAGTCCTCAGTCTGATAAACCACCTCTGACATATTTCTGAAATTGGTCTCTTTCTGTTTTAATATATAATAAAGTTATGGAATCTAAAGCAGTGGTTCGCAACCTTTTCTTCACCATGGACCCCCTTTTGTGGCCACAGATCTTGGCCACATACCTTCAAAACTTAAGATTTAAATAATTTCTTGCAACCCCCCGTGATGATGTTGTACCTCCCCCCCCCAGCATCCACGCACCACAGGTTGAGAACTATTGAGCTAAATATTAACATTTAGCCCTTGTGCTCAATTCTCTCATGTATGTATGTATGTATGTATGTATGTATGTATATATTATGCATGTATGTATGTATGTACCAGTACCATGTTTCCCCAAAAATAAGACTCTGTCTTATATTTTTTTGAACCCTGAAATAAGCACTTGGCCTTATTGCTATGTGCTCAAAAGCCCAATTGGGCTCATTATCAGGGGATGTCTTATTTTGGGGAAACATATGTACAGTATGCATGTATTCATTCATTTCCCTTTCTCTCTTTGCATTTTCTTTCCTGTTCAAGAACACTCTTCCACATCTTTTTGACTTGCTTTTTCTTAAGTTGCTTTGTGCTTAAATTTGATTATACATAACTTTACTCCATCTAACTTAGTTACTAAAATGTACTTATAGATGCTACCGGTAGCTATGAAATTCTGCTTTGAAATATAATGGTAAAGTAGAATAGTTTGTGTTTTCTTTAATCTCTTTGGCTCTGATGTTGAAAATATAGTTGAATTGTCTGATTATTTTTTTATATATAACCTGAAAGGAACCGTCAGAGTTGACCACATCTGGAGAGCAAGAGTGGGATGTTACAAAATCAAAACTTTGCTTGACCTTCCTAAAACAAATGATCTCTTACTGAAATTGCCATTTTAATATACCTGAAGGAAAGACATATTTTGGGAAGAATGATTGTGTTCCATCAAGTCATTTTTGACTTCTAGTTACATAGATAAGATTCCTCCATGATGACTTGTCTGTATTTTGGTCTTTCAAGTCATAAATGGTGCACACATCATCACTGCAACTGAATCTGTCTACTTTGCTGATGGTCTTCCTCTTCTTCTCTTTCCTTCCACTTACCCCAGTATTAGAGCCTTCCCCAAAGAGCCAGGTCTTTGCATAATGTGTCCAAAGCAGGGGTAGGTTCTACTTACCTTTACTACCAGTAAGGTAGCTATTCGCGTCACTTCGCTTGCGCATGCGCCTTGCTTCTGCGCATGCGCAGATCGCTTCTGATGATGTCAAGGTCAGTGGGTGGAGCCTCCTGCCAGTTTTACTACCGGTTCTATAGAACCGGTCCAAACTGAGGGCAACCCACCACTGGTCCAAAGTAAGATAATTTGAGCCTGGTCATTTGTGCCTCAAGTGTTCTCAATTTGCTGGTGCCTAAGAAGTCAGTTTTCAGTTGTTTCATTTCATATTTCATTGTATTGAGTTTTTCTGCATTTACACTTTTTACATTACATCTTACATTACATTTTTCAGCACTGGGTTTTCTTTTCTTGGGTCAAGGTACTTTCAAAGAAAACACAATTCAAAATGAAAACATTCTAGCTCAATATGAATTCTATAACATAATGTACACAAATAAGAAAAAAAAACCCATCTTGATTGAAATTGTGGATGATTTTAAACATACCCACCTATAATTCAGCTAGGATATGAAAAGGAGAAATAAAAAAATTCTAAATTCTAAATTTAGTTCTAAATTCATCACAATGGTTTCTCAGAATTTAGAACTTTCAGGTCAGTCCTATACCACTTTTGATTAATATGCAAAGATTTTAAAATACCCTGTCTCCCTGAAAATAAGACATCCCCTGATAATAAGCCCAATTGGGCTTTTGAGCGCATGCACTAAAATAAGCCCCCCTGAAAATAAGCCCTCCCCAAAAATATTTAAACGCATGCACAGCCGGTCCCTGCCATTTCCTTTGGTTAGGGTTAGAGAGACAGAGCTGGAAATCAGGTAAGATGGCAAAAGGAGCCCCATCTTGCTCCATGTGCCCCAAAATAATAAAACCTCCCCGAAAATAAGGCCAAGTGCTCATTTCAGGGTTCAAAAAAATATAAGACAGGGTCTTATTTTTGGGGAAACATGGTATTTCTGTAAGTGATCAGTACTGGCTGAGAAATCTTTAAAAATGCTGGGTCATCTCATCCTAAGATTAACAGGTGGGGAAGGTTCCAACTGAAATAATTCCATGATTAGCAATACTATTTCCTAGAATATATCTAAAACACAGTCTTATTGCTTTTTTCATATTTCTTTTTTTAGAGAGAATTTATGCTCCACTGAAGAAGCTCATCAAAAATTTATGAAAATTTATCCCAAGATCTTCATTAAAAAAAAGCCCATATTGCCAGGTATTCCTGAAAAAAGAACAATAGGGTAATTCATTTTTTAAAATCTGTATTTAATGTAAAAAAGTAATCAAGCAATGATATTAGGTCAGTTGTCGCCAACATGTGCCTCAAAGCAGCTGTCAAATATAAAGATTAGTAGCTAGTGGTAAATTTATTTTCTGCTTGAACAGAAATGTCTGTTTGTTGTTTCAAAGTGTATTTTGTCCTACCTCTGAGAAAAGCATGTCTAATTCATAATCCAAATTGAGTCCAAGTCTTACATGGCCATGTTTTTCTCCTCATTATTGTTTAAAATGGAATCCATTTACATTGGAGACCATTCATGGTGTACTATCCATATAAATTAATTATATGTCACCATATTTTTTTCTTTCACTGTAGTAAAGCATAGGAGACGAAAAAGATTGCCAAAACTCCCACAAAAAAAAACCAAACCCAAATCACAATGCAAAGAGAGGAGCAATCTATAGTTTACAAGGAATAAATGCTGCAGTCCTATTCAGCAGGTTATGACCAGTTCTGGAGAACCGGTAGCGGAAATGTTCAGTAGTTCGGAGAACGGTAAATACCACCTCTGACTGGCCCTGCCCCCATCTATTCTTTGCCTCCCAAGTCCCAGCTGATCAGGAGGAAATGGAGATTTTACAGTATCCTTCCCCTGGAGTGAGGTAGGAATGGAGATTTTACAATATCCTTCCCCTGCCACGCCCACCAAGCCACGCCCACAGAACCGGTAGTAAAAAAAATTGAATCCCACCACTGCTGCAGTCCTATACTGCTGTGCAAACTAATTATAGAAGCTTTGTAAGATTTAGAAAGTATAAATGATACAATCCTGCCTTATAAGTATCTGTCCAAAGCCAATGTCTATGTTCAATCTATGTTTCCTTTTTTTGCCTATAATTGCAGTGAAGGTTCACAGCAATGGTAGCATCTGAAAGCTGGGGAAACTGGATAAAGTATATTCTGGTGGCAGATAAAGCAAAAGCAACAGCGCTTAGATTTATATACAGCTTCATAGTGCTTTACAGCCCGCTCTAAGTAGTTTACGGAGTCAGAATATTGCCTCCAGCAATCTGGATCCTCCTTTTACTGACCTCGGAAGGATGGAAGGCTGAGTCAATCTTGAGCTGCTGAGAATCGAATTGCTGGCAGTCATCAGAATTAGCCTGCAATACTGCATTCTAACCATTGTGCCACTGTTATATTTCTGTTGGGGAAATATGAGCAGGAGGAAGCTATGGAAGGTGAATGTTAGTGAGAATGGTGCTCTTTCCAGATCCAAAATGATCACAAAGCCATCATATGGTCACCCCATCCCTGTGGCAAGATGTACACAGCAGCGGAGCTTCTTGGTCTGCGAGATTCCCCCCTCTCGCAGGCTTGGCCCCCCACGTTATCGAGGGCCTACCTCGATGACAGATTTTGGAATCCCGAGAGGTGGTATGCCGCAAAGAGGGGGCTGAGGGGTTTTTTAAAATTGTCTTTGTGTAAATTTTTAAGGGGTTTGGGGAGGGGGGTGGGGAGGGAGGCCAGTCTGGCTGTTAATGGTGCCATAGGGGGTACGGACTCTGGGGGAAAAGGGACTGTTAGAATGCCCTCTATTGAGGGCTTTTCCATCAATACGCTGAGTGGGAGGGGCAGGTATGGCGGGAGCAGGGGGCCGCACCATGTGGTGGGGGCACGCGCTCGCTATCTCCGAGTGATTGCGTGCCCCGGTCCCCTTAGCTCTTCCTGTTCCTCAGGCTGCTTAGAGTCTCAGGGCCCGAGTTTCCGGCTGATGTTGTGTAATGCCAGGTCCGTAGTAAATAAAGCCCCCCTCATTTGTGATCTTATTCAGGAGGGGGGAGCGGACCTGGCAGGTATTACGGAGACCTGGTTGGGCCATGAGGGGGGGTTCCCCTCGTGGAGATGTGCCCATCAGGCTTCCGTGCATTTCATCAGCCGAGAGCTCAGGGCAGGGGCGGGGGGGTGGCGGTCATTATAAGAGAGGGTCTTGATCCGAGGGAGACCACTGTGCCTCAGATAGCCGGATGTGAGTCCCTTTTCGTGAAGTGGGGTCGTGGGGTGCAGATGGGTCTGTTGATCACGTACCTGGCTCCCTGCCACGTGGCGACGACCCTGCCCGAATTCCTCAATGTTATAGCCGAGGTGGCAGCTGATACCCCCAGACTTCTGGTCATGGGGGATTTCAACTTGCCATCCATTGGTGAAACTTCTGAGGTAGCTCGGGAGTTCATGGCTTCCATGACGGCCATGGACCTGACCCAAGTAATTCACGGCCCTACTCACATGGGGGGACACACTCTGGACTTAGTTTTTGTCTCTGGTCAGTGGTTGAGTGGCCTTGATATAGGGGATATAGATACTGAACCCTTGTCATGGTCTGACCACTCACTCCTTCGACTTGACTTTCTGACCACCGCACCCCGTCGCAGGGAGGCGGAGCCGACCAGGTGGTTCCGCCCCAGGCGCCTGATGGATCCTGATAGGTTCCAGATGGAGCTTGGGCCATTTCCTGAAACTCTAGCTCACGACTCGGCTGATGACCTGGTGGCCGCCTGGGATAGTGCGGCTGCCGGGGCTTTGGACCGGGTCCTGCCTTTGCGGCCTCTGACCCGGCACCGAACTCACTTAGCTCCTTGGTTCTCCGAGGAGCTGAGAGAGATGAAGCGCCGGAAAAGACGCCTAGAGAGCGGTTGGAGGGCCAGTTGTTCCGAATCCGACTTGACACTGGTAAGGTCTCATATTAAGACCTACCTAGTGGCGATAAAAGCGGCAAAATCTAGCTATTTTGCCGCTCTTATCGTGTCATCAGATAACCGCCCAGCTGCCCTGTTCAGGGTGACCCGCTCCCTTCTCCATCTGGGAGCGCGGGAGGACCCCTTGCAGGGCCGAGCTGAGGATTTTGTACAGTATCTGGATGATAAAATAACTCAGATTCGGGAAAACTTGGCCACTGACTGGGTTAGTTCAGACGAAATGACTGAGGCAGGCCTTGAGAATGTTATCTGGGAGGAGTTCGATCCTGTGGCTCCCAAGGACGTGGACAGGATCTTGGGACGGCTGAACGCCACCACATGTTTCTTGGACCCGTGTCCCTCCTGGTTGGTGCTGGCTTCCTGGGAGGTTACATGAGGCTGGCTCCAGGGAATTATCAATGCTTCTTTGAGTGAGGGTGTCCTGCCGGCCGCTTTGAAAGAGGCGGTGGTGAGGCCTCTCCTCAAGAAGCCATCCCTGGATCTGGCTGTTTTGGCTAACTATCGTCCAGTCTCCAACCTTCGCTTTATTGCGAAGGTTGTTGAGAGTGTGGTGGCGCGACAGCTTCCACGGTACCTGGATGAAGCTGTCTATTTGGATCCGCTCCAGTCTGGTTTCAGACCAGGGTACAGCACGGAAACGGCATTGGTCGCGTTGGTGGATGATCTCTGGAGGGCTCGGGATAGGGGTTACTCCTCTATCCTGGTCCTGTTAGACCTCTCAGCGGCTTTTGATACCATCGACCCTGGTATCATGTTGCGCCGGCTGGAGGGACTGGGAGTGGGGGGCACCGTTTTGCGGTGGTTCTCCTCCTATCTCTCCGACCGGTCACAATCCGTGTTGACAGGGGGGCAGCGGTCGACCCTGAGGCGCCTTGTTTGTGGGGTGCCACAAGGGTCGGTCCTCTCGCCCCTCCTGTTCAACATTTATGTGAAGCCGCTGGGTGAGACCATCCGTGGTTTTGGGGTGGAGTTCCATCAGTACGCTGATGATACTCAGCTGTACATCTCCACCCCAGACCATCCCAACGATGCCTTGGAAGTGATATCCCAGTGCCTGGAGGCCGTGCGGGTCTGGATGGGGAGAAACAGGCTTCGACTCAACCCTTCCAAGACCGAGTGGCTGTGGCTGCCGGCGTCCCGGTATAGCCAGCTGACGCCATCGCTGGTTATTGGGGGTGAATCATTGGCCCCCACGGAAAGGACCCGCAACTTGGGCGTCCTCCTGGATGTACGGCTGTCCTTAGAAGGGCATATGACGGCCGTGGCCAGGGGGGCTTTTTATCAGGTTCGCCTGATACACCAGTTGCGCCCCTTTCTGGATCGGGACTCCCTACGCACAGTCACTCAAGCACTCGTCACTTCTCGTCTGGACTATTGTAATGCTCTCTACATGGGGCTCCCCTTGGAGTACACCCGGAGGCTCCAACTGGTGCAGAATGCGGCCGCGCGGGGGATTATGGGAGCGACTGGGCGCTCCCATGTGACTCCTCTCCTGTGCGAGCTGCATTGGCTTCCGGTGGACTTCCGGGTGCGCTTCAAGGTGTTGGTGATCACCTTTAAAGCGTTCCATGGCTTAGGGCCAGGGTACTTACAGGACCGCCTTCTGCCACCAATAGCCTCCCACCGGCCAGTTTGCTCCCACAGAGAGGGCCTCCTCAGGGTGCCGTCGGCTAGACAATGCCGGCTGGCGACCCCCAGGAGGAGAGCCTTGTCTGTGGTGGCACCTACCCTTTGGAACAATCTACCCCCAGAGATACGAGTGATCTCCGACCTCTGGACCTTTCGTCGGGCCCTAAAAACTCATCTCTTTCAGTTAGCCGGTCTCTCTTGATTTTATGATTTTATGGTTGGTTTTAAATTTTGATATGGATTTTAAATTGATAAATTTTAAACTATGGGCCAAATTTAATTATTTTAAATCTATTTTTAATCGTATTTATGTATAAATATTTTTATTTTGGCTGTTCACCGCCCTGAGTCCGAAAGGAGAAGGGCGGTATAGAAATTCGAATAATAAATAATAAATAAATAAATATGCAGAGTCAAATCTCAAGCCAGTAGATAATATTCTTTACGTCTTGGCCTCTGACCATATTTTTAAGTGATAAATAGTCTCTTCCTAATTTTAGTTATTTCCATGAATTGTGACGTTTTGAAACTCCAGAGGACTTCCTTTGTTGACTTCAATCCCACAAGTTGGACACCCTCTTTCACCTTGAATATATTATTCTTAGTGCTTACCAGTACTAATTTTTATATGTTTTGTCTACAGTTGCTTGCCTTGGGATAAATTTTAACCTATTTAACTGTACCCATGCTGTAGCGCATCCCTAATGTGAAAGTGGTAGAATAACAGTTTACAAAACAGGATTTCTTTTACACTCTCCCATTTTGCTCTAGGTTTTTGGATAAGTGGCAGTGAAATAGAAGTAAAACGATAAACCACAGGCTTCATTAATACTTGTATGGTCAAGCATTTTAAAGTTAACTATCTCTCTAGGACAGGGGTTCCCAATCTGTGGGCCACGGCCCAATAACGGGCTGTGGTTTATTTACAACTGGGCTGTGTGAGTGGTGGGCTGGAGCGCACATGCTTGCACACAGTCCGACTTGTACAACCAGTGGGCACTGCCACTCGCAGCCCCACTTGCTTTGTTTCCACTTAGACGTAAACAGGGTGGTTAATTATACAGGGTGGCTGGCCTTCTCCCTTGGGTTAGTAGAATATTTTTGTTTCACTCTCTTCAACTTCCTTTGTAAGCCATTTGAGCTGAAAAATCATGTCTCCTATTTGCCCTTGTTCTTCCTTCTTCAGTGGACCATCTCCAGATCTCACCCAGCTCCATGTCAGAAGTCTTGCCTCATCCTTCCTCTGAGCCAATGAGTCTTCCAAAGGCAGATCAAAGCTGCCTTTGGAAGGATGTAAAGATTTGGCTCTACCAAATGGCACAGGGCTCTCAGAATGGCATGCAACTCATGGTTAGGGCCTTGAAGCCGGTTGTTTCTGCCTTTTAACTCAATAATTTAAAACAAACTACCTTTGCTTTCTTTACTTCACTCCCATTTTACTAATGTATTGTATCTTTTATATGGTTTTTATGTTTTAGCTGTAAACTACTTAGAGTTGTTCTGAGAGTGAGTCAATTCGATAAATAAAATAAAAATAAATGCATTATCTATTTCTGCAACCAACTCAACTGTAGTGGATTCTAATACAGAATCTAATATATTGCAGATATTAAAACAATAATAATGTTTTACTATTTAATGTTGTATCATTAAACCAATAGCAAAAAGGTAAGAAATATATGGCCAATATATATTGGCCATTGTGGCTCCATAGTTGGTCCCCAAAATAAATTTTAGTATTACTAAACATATTTTTTTTCTCCTTCATAGAAGTGTCTTTTTAAAATTTCCAGTTTCCCTTTTCCCTCATTAACACAACGGCAGCCCCCTTTCCTGTGAAAAAGTGTCTATGAAAACGTTTCTGGTTTTAAGAAATATGCATGACATCTCTCTATTTGCAACTTCTATCAAAAATAACCACAAAAGAATATCATGTATATTTGCCAGCTGACTGAGCCATGACATCTTGTCACACGTGCATAATTATAGAAATTATAGATATGCCCATTTTGTTTTTGGATGATTAAATTTCCCTAGTAGATTATTTTTATGTCCAGAGGTATATGCATTGGAAAAGCTACTTAAAAATCTTCATGAGAATTTAATGCATTATTTACTATTACTGACATTATTTATTTATACATTTTTAATTCCATATTTCACTGTCACACATAGCATAAACTGAAGAGTAGTCCTTGCATATTATGGAAACCTTCTTCTATTTCGAGGCCATTCCACCCCCACCCCCCATTATTTTTCCAGTTGCATAATTCTGAGATATAGACTTATTAGGCATTAGATCAATGCATATTACAAGAAGATATTTCCTAGTTAATTTAAATGAAGTGCGTTATTATACTCTGAAAATGAGACATTTTGCTAAACAATATGTGGTATCACTCTGAACATTCTTCCATTCATTTTGTTTCTCTGTTTTTCACACACCCTTTTTATTCACTCCATCTGTTGGGAATCCCTTAATTTTCACAGGTTAAGGAGCAATAGCAATAGCATTTAGACTTATATACCGCTTCACAGTGCTTTATAGCCCTTTCTAAGTGGTTTACAGAGACAGCATATAGCCCCCAACAATCTAATTGAGACAAAGTTATTCATATTTGTCAAGTCTTCTACAAAAGCAGTTTTATGTTGAAATTTTATTCATGTAGACATTTTTTATTATTATTAGCAGTCTTGTGCAGCAAAATGAAATGGACAGGAGAAAGTCACAACCTGCTCAGATCTAATAGTATTCATTTCCCAGAGAGATAATTTTGATAGATTTGACAGCATAAATGTAGACTTCTTTTTTTATGCTTCTAGATCTTTGAGAAAAGCAGAGGAAGTTTATATAATTGCCCAAAAATATGCTGCTCAATATTATTTAGTAAACCTGAGATTCCTTGGAAGGAGATTATCGTGTAACAGTATGAAATTTCCTTCATGAGAATGTATCATTTAAACTTTGATCTAAGCCAATGTTTATAAAGATAAACTGTCTGGAATATTGTACACAGAAAGACAGCTTCTTTGCTTTAGAAGAGCATTGAATAAAATACAGCTTTTCAAATTCTACTTTTAAATAGAAAGTAAAGCTTTTTCAGAATAATTTTGCTTACAAGTAAATTGAGCATCAGTGTGAACAACTAATGAGAATACACACATTAATCGTAAAGCAATATGCTACAAAAGAGCAAGGCAGATATTTACATGAATTGATAAATAAAATGTATTATAAATGTTATAATACATTTATAACAGTGATGTTAATTTATTTGTTACTCCTTCCTTCCTTCTTTCCTTCCTTCCTTCCTTCCTTCCTTCCTTCCTTCCTTCCTTCCTTCCTTCCTTCCTTCCTCCATCCCACCCTATAAAAGCCAGCTTAAAATAATATTGTTTTAATAATAATTTCTAACTCCAACAAAGTTTGAATTTTTAATTCAAGTTTCAATAGTGTTCTCATGAAATTTTTTGCTTCCAGTTTTAAACTTTTTGTTTAAAAAAAGCTCTTTGTTTTCTCCTTGTTTTTCTGGGATAGAGAATGTGTGTACTTTGCTGCTTCTGATCAGGTTTTCTTGACAGTTATCACAAGGATGGAAACTCACAGTGGTCCTGACTGGTGGATTTGAGCTAGTTCATGGGAACTTTTTCTAAGTTACATTCCATCTTTTGCTGTTATGCACTAAATGGAATGAACCGTACATATGTTGCAAAGCATAAAATTAAAGATGGGAGGTAGGAAGCTTATCATATGAATAACACCTCTGAAACATGGAAAGAAGCATTTGAAATTATTCAAAAAGACTACCCGATAATTCTCTCATAATAAATGTCGATGGAAAATTTATCTTAAAGTTTTCAGAAGTCTGTTATTGAAGCTATTTTTACTAAAAACGTGTACTACTTGTTTTCTTGGTCTTCCCCAATTATATGGGGAACAGTTGTCTAATTGAAATAACAGCAATCCAAAATGAGAGATGGATAGAGATTTTATGACAGGAGCAAGTATTGGTCTCCTGAAGAGGAAAACAAACTGCAGTGGTTGATCTTTACGGCAGTCTCACTTCTATTTTCTGTTCTAGTGTTTGTTCTGTCTTTCTGCCATGATCATAGCAGGTGTTTTTTTTATAAAACAAGGATCTTCCTTCTCATCTCACACAGATACACACAGCATTGCTAAACTTTTACTTGATATTATTTTGACCTTATATTATGCCACCCAATCACCTTATAGGGAGATGGGTGCCATAAAAATCTAATAAATAAAATACAATAAATAAAAAAATTCTATTCTTGAGTCCTGTAAAAAAAATATTCATTATAGGGATTACTACCATTTTTCTTTCTACCTTTGCAGAGCAGTTTTGCAAAAGCAAAAATAATTCCAGTAGAAAATACTTTTCTTTCTTCCATTAGTAAGTCTTGAAGAACAATGGGCTGATTGGGTTTCAAGTATCAGAGGCAAATATCTAATGGATTAGAACAGGCCAAAGGCCTGCTGATTCAAAAGTCTGCCTTCTGTTTTTAAAAGAGATTAATCATGTCAACCTAGGAAGTTAGAAATACATTTGATGCCCTCTTCCATTTCCTTTATTTAGCAAATTATGTTAAACTTTTTAAAAACACTATGGTAATGGTCAGTTATCAAAAGCGGCAGCTACCGGTTATAATTTTGTTTTAAATTATGAATGAAATTTCATAGAAACCCATAATTTGTCACAGATATCAGAGTTTGTGGGTTATTTATTTATTTATTTGATGTAAAATATATAGCTGTTGCCCATCTCGCAGACATAACTCGGGTTAGCATACAATAACAGCCAATTGAAACAATTAAAACAACAGTTAAAAACAATCGGACACAGTTACAAATAAAAGCAGAATAAAAATAAAAATGAGGGAGAGCAATCCATTGTCCTACATACAATATTAGCCATCTTACAGGCTTCTCATTTCTCTGTGATTCCCCCAAGCTTGTTGAAAAAAAATTCTAAATTTTCTATATGCCAGTAGGGTCAAGGCTAATCTCATCTTGAGGGAAATGATGTGCCAAAGATGTTTATTTTTTTTTATTAAATCACATTTTATTCCCTGGAAGCTCAAGGGTAAGTATGCTTTAATAGTAGCATTCTCTTTCTTTCTTCTGGTCTGTAGGGTACATTCCTGTAATTTCTGCACCAATGCTGTAACTGCTGAAGATTTTCACAACATACATTTCTATTTGAATAAGATGAAAAATCCCGATAGGTTTCAGCCGAGCTTTCCAAAATCCCGAGAGAGTGTACAAAATTTAATAAAAATACTCAAGAAAATGTAAGTATCAAATTTATTCAGAGCTTTCTATGACTTGTTTTGGTGGATACATAGAAGCAACTATTTTTCAAAATATATCCTTTAATTAGTATATAAACTTGCTATGTAAACTTTATGAAATTTTATTTTTATGGCTATATGCTAATATCATAATTTTAAATGGTTGTCCATAACATACCTAGATAATTTATCTTTAATGATACCTTGCATGTTTGCAGTAGAGATCTTGTGTCGGTGTTAATTAGCTAATATAAATAGTATATTAGCATATTAGCTATATTATACCATATAAATAGTAAGATAACTGAATTTACAACATACCACTTCATTGCAATTGGATTATTCAAGGCTGGCTAATGCAAGCCATTATTGTAATGTTATATACCAGTGATGGCTAACCTTTTTGTCATTGTGTGCCAAAATGCAATGTTGTCATGGTACCCATAATGCAATGCAGCCCCGTGCATGCGCACAATGAGCCCTTCACATACTGTCCTGTGCATGCAACCCCCCATGCTCCCCCGCCCCTCCATGCATGTGCGCGTGACTCCCTGCCCTGTTTTGGGCCTAGTAAGCCTCCCTGTTCTTACAGGTATTATGTCTGCCTTCTATGCAGCTTTATTCCTCTTTAGCATTCATCTCCATTGTTTTGGATGCATTTTCTGCCTCTCTAGGATATACCTCTATTTGCTCCTGTGAGGCACTTCCTGTTCCTGTTCCTGTTGTATATATGCATTTATTAGAATATGGCTTGTATAGCATTTTAACTGCATTTTAATTAAAACTATTTGAAACACCTGCAGCCTCCTGGAACCTCCTTCCCCCTGTGCATGCACGTGGGGCCCTCCGCGCATGCACAGGCATCTCCCACATGTGCCCTGCCCCTCATCCCGAAAATCAGCTGGCCAGCGGGAGGCACCCATGCATGGTGGAGCTGAGATACTAAGATTTAATATTGTGATATTAGATGCTTAAAAGTAGTTAATCTATATACCATAAAAAGATTATAAAGCCAATGTGATTTTTGACATGTTTTTAATATATGCTATATGACTAACTAGTCTAAGGCAATTTACAAGGATGCCACAAAGATCTGTGGCTTTTTATTATAGAACTTTCAGTATCTCATTATTAATGGCATACCCATGTGATTGTTAATAATCTTTTAATGTATAAAAGACAATTTATCTCTGAGGTCAACAATATAATCCATCTGTGGACAATACAATTAAACATTCTGAAATGGGATATTAGAGCAGTGGGGAAGGTTTCCTCTTTCCTCAGTTAAATTCCCCCCCACCCTTCAAAGTATATAGTTCAAAAATTGAATTTGAATTGCAGTGTTATATAAAATACCGGTACAGTGGTGGGATTCAAAATTTTTTACTACCGGTTCTGTGGGCGTGGCTTGGTGGGTGTGGTATGGCGTGCCATGGTGGGTGTGGCAGGGGAAGGTTACTGCAAAATCCCCATTTCTTCCCGATCAACTGGGACCAGGAGGCAGAGAATAGATGGGAGCGGGGCCAGTCAGAGATGGTATTTACCAGTTCTCCGAACTACTCAAAATTTCCGCTACCAGTTCTCCAGAACTGGTCAGAACCTGCTGAAACCCATGTCACCTGATCAAAATTTGGATGTTTGACAAGTGGGATATATTTATGATGGTCACAGTGTCCAGGGGTTATGTAATCACTTTTTGCAACCTTCTGACAAGCAATGTCAGTGGGGAAGCTTGATTCACATAACAACTGTGTTACTAACTTAATAACTGCAGTGATTCACTTAACAAATGTGGCAAGAAAAGTCATAAAATGAGGCCAAACTCACGTAACAATTGCTTTGCTTAGTAATGGAAGTTTTGGGTTGAAGTGTGGCCGTAAGTTGAGGACTACTTGTGCTCATTGTTTAATTATCACCCACTTTATTAGCTTAAATACATTTTAAAAGTATTTTCCATGAATCAATATCTAAGTGGACTGTAACATGGAGCTTTCAGAAGTATTTATTTATTTTATTTATTAATTTAATTTATATACCGCCCTTCTCCCAGAAGGACTCAGGGCGGTGTACGGCCAAAATAAAACACACAGATATAAAATTTAAAAAACAATTTAAGGAATATTAAATAATTTGTCCCATATCTAATTAAAATAAAACTACCCATTTTGGACATTTAAAAGTTAAAAGTTAACAATTAAAAATTTAAAAATTAGCGTCTTGAGGGCCCGGCGGAAGGTGCGTAAGTCAGGAATCCTCCGCATCTTGGGGGGCAATTCGTTCCAGAGGGCAGGAGCCCCCACAGAGAAGGCTCTCCCCCTGGGGGTCGCTAGCCGACATTGTTTGGCCCACGGCATCTGGAGGAGCCCCTCTCTGTGGGAGCGAATTGGGCGGTGGGAGGCTATTGGTAGCAGAAGGCAGTCTTGTAAATACCCAGGTCCTAAGCCATGGAGTGCTCTGAAGGTGGTAACCAATACCTTGAATTGCACCCGGAGAACCACCAGAAGCCAGTGCAGCTCGCGGAGGAGAGGTGTTACATGGGAGCGCCATGACGCTCCCATAATCACCCGTGTGGCCACATTCTTGACCAGTTGGAGCCTCTGGGTGCTCTTCAAGGGGAGCCCCATGTAGAGAGCATTACAGTAGTCCAGGGGGGAAGTGACAAGGGCATGAGTGATCGTGCGTAGGGATCCAGAAAGGGACGCAACTGGCGGATCAGGCGAACCTGATAAAAAGCCCCCCTGGCCACAGCCATCACATGTTCTTCTAAGGATAGCCGTGCATCCAGGAGGACACCTAAGTTGCAAGCCCTCTCTGTGGGAGCCAACGACTCACCCCCAATAGTCAGAGATGGCACCAACTGACTATATCAGGACGTTGGGAGCCACAGCCACTCAGTCTTGGATGGGTTGAGCTTGAGCCTGTTTCTCCCCATCCAGATCCACATGGCCTCCAGACACCAGGACATCACATTAAGGGCATCATTGGGGTGGTCCGGGATGGAGATGTACAGTTGAGTGTCATCAGCGTACTGATGGAACTGCACCCCGAAACCACAGATGATCTCACATAAATGTTGAACAGAAGAGGTGAGAGGACCAACCCTTGTGGCACCCCCCACACAAGGCACCTCGAGGTTGACCTCTGGCCCCCTGTCAACACAAACTGCAACCGGTCAGAGAGAAAGGAGGAGAATCATGGCAACACGGTGCCTCCCACCCCTAACCCCTCTAACCAGCGCAGCATGATACCATGGTCGATGGTATCAAAAGCCGCTGAGAGATCTAATAGGACCAGGACAGAGGAAAAACCCCTGTCCCGAGCCCTACAGAGATCATCAACCAATGCGACCAATGCCGTTTCCATGCTGTACCCAAGTCTGAAACCCGACTGGAACGGATCAAGATAGACCGCTTCATCCAGGTACTGGGGGAACTGTCACGCCACCACATTCTCAACAACCTTCACCACAAAGCGGAGGTTGGAGACTGGACGATAATTCGCTAAATAGCTGGGTCCAGGGAGGGCTTCTTGAGGAGGGGCCTCACCACCACCTCTTTCAAGGCGGTGGGAAAGCAACCCTCACTCAAAGAAGCATTGATAATCCTCTGGAGCCAGCCTTGTGTAACCTCCCGGGAAGCCAGCACCACCAGTAGGGACACGGGTCCAATAAACATGTGGCAGCACTAAGTCTACCCAGAATCTTGTCCATGTCTTCAGGAGTCACCGGGTCAAACTCCTCCCAGATAACACTCTCAAGTAACTCTTTTTAGATTTAAAGAGAAGTCAGTTTGACTAACTTCCACTAGAATAGAGTCCTGATCTGGGGCTCGCCATACTTGGGGGTGGTGGAGGTGGTGGTGGGGGCACAGAGTGTATTTCATTACCAGCAAGAGGGGCTGTGGAGACTGCGGAATATACCACTCATGGGCTCCCGCACCAGCGCTGTATTCCAGGACTCTACACCTTGCCATCGGCCTGCGACCAGATGTCAGCCACAGATAGACGGATGCTGAGCTGACAGCAGGCATGGCAGGCCGGTCAGCGGGCATGACCCAGGACTATACAATGCTGACTTTGCACGGAACTGTGTGTTAGACTCATTGTGTACCAGGGTTCTGGCCTATGGGTGGGAAGTAAAGCCTGGATTTTTGAGTTGCTGAGTTTCCTGAGTTTGCTTGACTCCTCCCTGGTCTGGGCCTGGACCTTTGAGAATCATATCCTTAGCAAGAGTCCCAACTCAATGCTCTCCTGAAGTTTTGGCTCTTGAAATAGCAACAAATGTTCCACGAACACATCAAGCAAGATATGCATGGTCTTTAGCTGTCAATGGATGAGAAAAGACAACTCTTTTAGGAAATTTATAACAATCTATTTTTGGGATTGCAGCCGTCTACTTTAAGTTCTCTCTGTTTTGGTATATTGTAGCTAGTCACCTTATGTTTCCTTGGGTGGTTTCAGTTTACCATGGGACTCATATTCACTGTACCATTGCTGAATAGGATTAGACTGTAGCCATTTTGGCTCTTCTTTATCATGATCACAGTTGGAAGTTGGTCCAAACTAATTTGTTTCGTTAATTTGCTTTTCTTGCTGAACACTCTGAGGAGCTTCTGGAATAGAGGACACCTAGCCAAGTCTATCTAATGTAGTCAGTATATTTGAGAAAGTACAGTAATTAAGCTTAAGTGGTGAAATACGTTTTTAACCAATTGAATAAGCAAGGCTAAAATGTTGTAATGTTTTTCAAGGCTACCTTGCTTATCATGAAGTTTAGGGCCAGGCAATGAAAGAATCAGAACAGACAACTATTGGATCTGGGATCATAGGATAAACTGGGATTGCTCATAATGTGCTTGAATTGTGGTATTAATTGGCCACAAACGAGGTCTGATGGCTATTGCAGTTCTTTATTGCATCCACCACAATTATTTTATTAGTTTTTTTCTCCTCTTGAGTTTTTATAAACTTACTGCCTTTTAATCTTATAGCTGTTCAAAGGC